ATCCTTCCACCTCAGCCTTCCAAGTAGCTGGAACTACAGGCGCGCGCCACCATGTCCGGCTAATTTTTTTTTTATTTATTGTAGAGATGAGGTCTCGCCAAGTTGCCCAGGCGAGTCTTGAACCCATGGGCTCAAACAATCCACTCACCTCAGCCTCCCAAAGGTGCGGGATTACAGGCTGAGCCACCGAGCCTGACTCTCCCTCTCTTCTTTAGAGTCTTGTTCTGTCACCCAGGCTGAGTGCAATCAATTGCACAACTGCAACCTCAAAGATCTAGGTTCAAGTAATCCTCTGGCCTCAGTCTCCTAACTGGGACCCAGCTACATTTTTTTTTTTTTTTTTTTTACTTTTTGTAGAGACGGTCTCGCTATGCTGCCTAGGCTGGTCTGGAATTCCTGGCCTCAAGCGATCCTTCTGCCTTGGCCTCCCAAAGTGCTGGGATTACAGGCCTGAGCCATGCACCTGGTCTGTCTTCATAATAATTTTTTCTCTCTCTCTTTTTTTTTTTTTTTTTTTGAGTTGGAGTCTCACTCTGTCGCCCAGACTGGAGTGCAGTGGCTGCTCCCGGCCACCGCAGCCTCGACCTACTGGGCACCGGCGATCCTTCCGCCTCAGCCTTCCAAGTAGCTGGAACTATAGGCGCGGGCTACCACGCCTGGCTAATTTTTTTATTTATTGTAGAGATGGGGTCTCACCAAGTTGCCCACGCGGGTCTTGAACCCGTGGGCTCAGGCAGTCCACTCACCTCAGCCTCCCAAGGCGCGGGATTACAGGCTGAGCCACTGAGCCCAGCCATAATAATTTTTTTTAAGGCCTGTCTAGTGGTCCATCATATTGATATAATTTCTGTAATTGACTAATGGCCGCCCTATTTCTATGTATTGGGCTCTTTCTGGTTTTTTGCTTTCATAGCTAGTCCTGGACAGCATCTTCTGGCACAGGGCTGCTTCTTTTTTTTTTTTTTTTGAGTTGGATTCTTGCTCTGCCGCCCAGTCTGGAGTGCAGTCTTTCCCCCTCTTGCCTTGGCGCTGATACCCCGTGCCCACCCCAGGCCTCTGTTCCATCAAGAAGGTCTGAGAGTCTTCCCAAGGTGTGGAGTGGGCAGGGCAGAGGCCTGAAGTCTACCCACCCTCACCCCGCCCTGCCCTCCAGTCCCCTGCGATGCTCAGGCCGAGAGTCCCACGAGCTGGTTTGAACCCACAGCTCACCTTGGATCTGGCTAAAATGCAGATTCCTGCTTCTCAGTTCTGGGGCAGGGCCTGAGAGTCTGCGTTTCTAGCAAGCTCCCTCGTTGGGGTTGCTGCTGCTGCAGACTCATGAGCCACGCCACCCCAGCAGCGCCCTGAAGATGCTGGCCGGGTCCCCAGCCTCCTCCACTGCCCCAGCCCCAAGTACTATCTGGGACTTGAGATAAACATTTGGAAAGTAGGGCCAGCCATGGTGGCTCACACCTGTAATCTCAGCACTTTGGGAGGCCAAGTGAGAGGATCACTTGAGGTCAGGAGTTTGAGACCAGCCTGGATAACACAGCAAGACCCCTATCTCTACCAAAAATCAAAAAGTTATCTGAGTGTGGCAGTTAGTCCCAGCTACTTGGGAGGCTGAGGTAGAAAGATTGCCTGAGCCCAGGAGGTCGAGACTGCGGTGAGTCGTGACTGTGCCACTACCCTCCAGCCTGGGCAGTAGAGTGAGACTCTGACTGAAAATAATAATAATAATAATAATAATAATAACTTAGAAACAAGGATTAAGACTTTGTAGGGGCAGGAAGTTGAGGCAGCCTGTGTTCCTCTATGTGCAGATCTGATGAGGTGTTTCCTCCCTCTGGATGTGAAAGAAATAATTGGCCCACAGAAAACTGAGGCCCAGAGAGGAGCCTGGCTTGCCCAGAGCCACACAGCCTGCCTGTGAGAGGGGGCCGGGGACACCCTCCGCCTGAGCTCTAGGCAGGCCTGTCTCACAGCCTGACTGCTTGGGATGTGGAGGTGGGCAACGGGGCATCCGGCAAGCTCTGGGGACAGGGCTGCACTGTAGGGACAGCAGCTGCTGTGTGGGAGGTGATCGCTGGGACCACGCTCCCTGGGGCAGACTTAGTCTCTGGCCCTCTGGCAGCTGCCACGGCCAGCCTGGGAGGGGTCAGCTGAGGACAGGCTGCAGTAAATATAGGTCCAGGGAAGGAAGCCAGGCGGCCCAGCCCTGCACTGACCTCTCGCTGGAAGTCTGGGGAGGGCAGATGTTCAGTCCCAGCACCCTCCCCTCCAGGGGTGGGGGACACCTGGCCCAGCAGGCCCCTAGATTTGCCAGAAGTGGTTGGGGTCCCCGCTGCCCAAGTCCCAGGTACTGTCTGGAGATTGAGATAAACATTTAGAAAGGGGGTACGAGAGCAGTGGCTCACGCCTGTAATCAGTACTTTGGGAGGCTGAGGCGAGAGGATTGCTTGAGGTCAGGAGTTTGAGACCAGCCTGGGCAACATAGCAAGCCCTGATGTCTCCACAAAAAATGAAAAGCATTAGCTGGGTATGGCAGTTACAGCAGGGGGCAGAGCCTCCAAAGGTGCCCAGGATGAGGGTGGGCAGAAAACTGGTCAGGAGATGTTGTTGCTGTGTGACCTGCAGCAAGACACACTCCCTCTCTGGGCCTCTGTTTTCTGGTGATCTGTCAACAGTGCCGTCCAGCTAGTTAAGTTCAGAGTAAGGAATTGACTTGCCCAAGAGACTTGGGGGTCCCCAAGCTCAAGGGGCAGGAGGCCAGCTCCCCTGACAGCCCCTCTTGTCACCTCCATGGGTGTTGCTTACTCAGGAGAGAGGATTCCCCCAGTGAAAACACATCTCCTGTTCTCCCAGCCCTGTTCTGGGTGCCGGCCCCTCCCTCGAGGGCTCAGGGCCACCCAGCCCAGGGCTCTTTGCTGTGTGGCTGCACCCCCGCGCTGGCCACACCATGTCCACCTGGCCCGGCCCTGGGAAGGGGAAGGCAAGCGAGGCAGTCACTCCAGCACAGACGTGTTTATTGGCAAAAACCTATTCCCAGGCGTCGAGGGGAAGGGCACTAACAGGGTGGGTATTCACAGAGCCGGGGGGGGGGCAGGGGTGTTCAGTCAGGACGACAGTCCCCGCAGCTCCCCCTCCCACCCAGCCTCCTTACTAAGTAAGGCTACTGCTGGCATGGCCTCATTTAATCCTTATAACCCTACAAGGTAGGTACCAAAGTGTTTCCATTTTACAGATCAGGAAACAGAGGCGCGAAGTGGTGAAATGTCGGGAGGTGGGTGTCACTCCTGAGACCCTTCTGTGAATGGAGCTAGCCCGAGAGTCACATATGGGGATGCCATGACAGACTGGGACCCCCAGTGGCCAAGAGGCCTCCGTCCGTCCGGGGCTCACGGTCTGTTCTTTTCCATGACTCCCTGACCCCCAGTCCACCCCATCCCTCACCATGTCCAGTTTTTTCAACTCTTTTTATATTTTTGTTTTATAAAAATATAGATTTGCCCACATCCTGGAGAACCCACTGTCTCCTTCTCCAACTGGCCAAGCCTGGCTTCTCCCCAAGATTGATTTTTTAATTTAATTTATTTTTTAGGTCTCACTATGTGGCCCAGGCTAGTCTCAAACTTCTGGGCTCAAGCAGTCCTCCCGCCTTGGCCTCCCAAAGTGCTGGAATGACAGGCGTGAGCCACTGCACCTGGCCGCAAGATTTGGGTTTGATGGGGCTGGGGACGGTGGGTCTCAACTGGGGGGCTGGGTGTGTGTGAAACTCTAAAGAAAGACACAATAAATTACAGCCTTCCCTCCCCCTCCCTTCTCACCCCACCTTCCTACCCTCCCTCACCCCCGTCCAAATCTAGAACAGACCGTACCCGGCCCCTGCCCCCACCCCCACCCCGGGCAGGGTCTTGTCTCAGTCCCCTCTGTGTCCACAGGGTCCTGGACCCTCTGTGAATGATTGTGGAATGGATGAATGAGTGAACTAATGAGTGCTGGCAGGGATGTGACCTTGGTCTCAAGGTCAGGAGCAGAAGGGAAAGGTGGGAGTCACGGGGCACTGAGACGGGAAGTGGATGGGTGACAGGACAAGTCAGGCCGGTCCGCATTCCAGCCGTGGGGCCTGGGAGCAGTGTGACCTTGGGCAGGCAGGCTCAGGGAAGAATGGCGGGTGCTGTCAAATGGTCCTTTCAGAGTTTACAAAGTCCTTTTTACATATATCTTTGGTCCTCATTTGCCATCCTGTGATGTGGGTGTTGTTATTCATATACCCATGTTACAGAAGAGGAAGTAGAGGCTGAGAAAGTCAAGGGATTTGCCCAAGGTCACACAGCAAGCACCGCCCACCTCCCATCTCTGCTTCTGCCCTGTCTATGCCCTCAAGAGGTGGGGCTCAGGCCAAAGTCCTCTGGTACTGGCTCCCAGGGGCAGTGTGGCCGCAGGAGAGACTGTGGGACAGAGCCCCTGATGTCTTCTGCCCTCTATGGGAGGTCTCCTCCCTTCCCCTCCACAGCCTGGGGCCTCCACTGATGCCCAGGAGAGGCCTGGAGTCCATGAGGTGCCCACGAACTCCTGCTTCTCCTAGGAGGGAGGATGGCAGAGGGGTCTGGGGCCTGGGCCTGCTTCTCACACGGGCATGGGCACTTCATCATACTCATCCCGGCCTTCCTCCTTGTCGAAGGTCGCCTTGGCATCATCAGCATCCAGCTGGGGGGGGCAGGGGGAGGGGTGTGAGGGGTCTCACCAGAGCAGTCCCCCGCCTGGAGGCCCTTCTGGAGACTGGAGGGGCTCTGGCTGTCTGCAAACCCTGACACATCCTGTTCTGTCTCCAGCCTCAGAATTGCTTTAGATGAGTGGTTGCCAAAGGGGGAGGCGTCCTGGGGGTGTGGACCCCAGCAGGGGCAGGTTTGCAAGGGGGAACAGCCCCACAGTGGCCTGTGTCCTCTGTTAGAGGAGGGGCTCTGTCCTGAAGGATTTAGAAGGCCACAGGGAGCCAGGTGTGGTGGCTCACGCCTGCAATCCCAGAACTTTGGGAGGCAGAGATAAGAGGATTGCTTGAGTCCGGGGGTTCACCTGGGCAACTTGGCAAGCCCTCGTCTCCACAATGAACCAACAAATTAGCTGGGCATGGTGGTGCATGCTTGTAATCCCAGCACTTTGGGAGGCAAAGGCAAGAGGATTGCCTGAGTCCTGGGGTTTGAGGCCAGCCTGGGCAACCTGGCGAGAGCTCATCTCTACAATAAATTAAAAAAATTAGCCAGGCGTGGTGGTGCGTGCTTGTAGTTCCAGCTACTTGGAAGGCTGAGGTGGAAAGATTGCCTGAGTGCAGCAGGTCGAGGCTGCGGTGGCCAGGAGCATGCCACTGCACTCCAGCCTGGGCAACAGAAGCTCTGACTCAAAAAAA